ATGACAATTAAACGCAATCATTTAAGACGTATTTTAATTTTGATTAATATTTGATTTCCTGGGAGGGGCTCTTAAAAAAAAATCTTTCAGAAGGCAACAACATTCTAACAGGAAACCGATTGGTCGAGTATCATTATTGGTATTCGATACTCGGTACTACCGAGCGATACTCGAATACTCGAGTACTCGTTGACATCCCTAGTAGTTGTCATGCTTGCAAAAATGGAAAAACCCAATTTTACGTATATAAAAACATGTTAATAGAATGGTCCCGGTTGAAGATTCATGAAACTATTTTTTTTTATTCGACATATTTACTATGCATGTTTTAACTGTATTCGGTTCTTATACATCCTTGGCTTTCTATTATTCGGCTTTGAGCGTTCCCGATGAAGGTAAATCCAATAAAGCGCTTCAGAAGCATGGAATTTATAACGTGTCGATTTCATTCCCCTTAAACAATCACGTGGTACGAGCCAAGAAAGACAAGAATACTATTTATTGATAGTATATACGTGAAACTTTGAACAATTGTAGATCAAAATGTTCAAGCAAAATTTCAAAACTCTGAGTCACACTTTGCTTTCAGTTCTAATTAATTCTTAAAATCTTAAAGGTGCTGATAAGCGGGTAATACTGCATAAAATATCAAGACACCTAGTATACAGGGAAATTAAATTTAGAAACAACTATTTTTTTCAGAAATAGCTTTTCTTTGTTTATCTAGAAATGTGTCGCTACAATTCTTTCGATGAAGCTTTCTCTTCAATTTCGAAAACGGCTCTTGGAAGATTTTATTACATGATATTTATCTTACAGTAACTTTATCATCATGATATTTAAACATTTTTAAGGACACACAAGAAGAATGGAGAAATGTATTCTATGTGTGTGCTGCCTTCAATGTTCTAGGAATATTGGTGTATGGCTGTTTTAGTAGAGGCGAAATCCAAGAATGGGCAAAAGATGAAGAGGAAATTGTGATAGAAAAACAAAATGATAAGACGGAAACTAAATTGTGATCAAATATATATATATCTTAAAAAAAGCTATCTAAAAAATCTTACACATTGTTGAATCAGTTTTGTTTATTTGTTTGTTAGTGTGAATAATTGTGTTATACGCCAATTCCATGATGACCCCTTTTATTGGTGAAAGAAGCCGGGGAGTCCAGAGAAACGTATCGACCTTCGGTAATGAACTGGCCGTCCTTATCAATGAATTCATCATAGATACTAGAATTAAACATTGTTACGTCAGATGCTCGTTACGGGCGTCTCGCGCAAATACAAAATTTCAATCCTGGTATATATGATGAGTTTATTTGTTTATCAATGACGCTCAAATAAAAACAGTTAAAAAGGCTAACTATAGTAAGAAGTTGAAGATCACGAATCACGCTATACTAGTATTACGTGTTTAAAGCTACATGTTAAGGAATGTATCTTAAAATAAATTGAAGTTTCGTAAACAGTTAATTTTAAGTTATGACCATATCAATGATAATTCATATCAAATAAGAAGTGATGACTACTGGTCTTTTCAGATCGAAGTGAAACGCATTTGGCAACAAGTGAAGTTTAACCTCAATACTGAAGCGTTGAGACAGGTTTTTTTAAAATCTTTTGACTTTTAAAGATGTATTGTAAGATACACGTCAATGATAAAATGATAAGCTTCAGCGAAGAACCATATAACCATTATAAGGATGACACTACAGACTACTATACAGGTATCTAAAAGCTGTGTCAAACTCCTAATCGTTCGGGAGCAAAATAAGTTTTTTATACTTTTTGAAATATTTTACAGCTCTCTTATCTGGAATTTAAGAATAAGATTATATTGTATATATATAGAAAACACTTACAGGACTAACCTGTAAAAGTGGTTTCGAGTTCTGCCTGGCCTATTGAAGTGACCGGTTTTTATGAGCACTCACATGATTGTTCATTTCTTATTGGCATCCTAATTTTTAGGATAATATCTAGAATAGGCGGATCAAACTAGGTACCAAACATATATCTGCTCTAAGTATCACATTATGTAACAAAATTATTGAACTTTAATCTGATATTAATCCTATTCTTTGTATACTCTTATGTGCCAACGTTTTTTCTTTGCATGTTTGAAATATTTTGTTATTAATCGTGTGTTAAGACGAGTAATAAGATACGACAAAAATAGCAACATGAGGGAAAAAAAACATTAATCGAAACAATGTCAAGAATGAATAACATTCTCAATAAAACAAACCTTTGAGTAAACCAGATATTGCAGTCGTGTTTCTCTTGTTTCATTTTATTGAAACTAAGAAGCATTTATACGTTTTTGTCATAAACATATACTCAGCCTTTTATGTACTAAGAAATCTTTTATAAGTCCTACTAGTTCAACCTGAAAACTTTATCCAACATCCGATATCTGATGTAATGGGCTCGAAGGAGAAAAATCGAGAAACCTTTCCTGGAAGCGTTGCAAATGTGAAGGAACTACTTTATCGTTTTTTTTTTTCTAGGATCTGATATTTATTTGACATAATCAGAACTATTTAATGAAATCTATATCTTTTGACATAAACATTTATCAGTGTTCTATTTGAATTTTTGGTTTGTTTATGTATGAATATGAAAATTTATACTCAGGTTATAGTTTAGAATACTCAGAAATTATGAAAAAATGTTTTATAATGAACACTTTTCATTCTCTGCAAAGCTCATAAGATAAGAATTATTGAAATAGAACAAAATTCAACATTTTTTGTCCAATATCCTATATAAAACATGATGCAATGTCAGTTTGTTCGCGTTAATGTTTTAGGATCAGAAAGATAAGAAAATATAAGGCAATAATTGTTTGTTAAATAGATTCTTAATCCGATGCTTTCTGTTTCCCATCCCTCAAGGTGACTGGGAAATAGAAATTTGGTCACTACATGTCTTCTTCCGACAAAAAACGTCCGAATGGAAGTTAAAGCCTTGTCAAAAAGGGGGAGGGGGCGTCCGTTTGGCTGTTTTGGATGTATCATGTAAGCAGCAACGTCCGGATATAATTGGGATGTTAAATCCAATGTCTCGTTTAGAGAGAGTGTCGTGCTCTCTGCACGTTAAGAACCCTTGCAATATCTCTTTGAGGGGACCTCTTTAACCGGACCTACGTATTGTATGTATTGGTAATTTGTTCTTGTCGTAAATATACATGAAATATTTGCCACTTGATGTTAACGCAACCAACAATCAACAATCAATATGTTTCCCTGAAAAAGGTTGCAGTGGTTTTAAAGTGATAGTTTCGTATTGAACCTACCAACCATGATGTTGCATTGATAAAACTATTTGAATATAGAGTACATACAAAGCTGTGTAGAGTAAAGTCTCGAAATTTTTTACCGATAAGTACACAAATAATTTATTGTCTGACACAAAGATGGACTGTACAAAATCGAGCACACGTACGGTTATTGCTGACGGGTGTCTTCAAGTAGATTTTAACTCAGCAAACGGCCGATTTTTTTCACATTCAGATGTTATTCACTGTAGTCAGTTCACCTAATACGTGACACTATAAATTTAAATACAAAAAGATGTTTAATCCTGGTTTCTATGATTAGTTTAGTAATATCACATATTCAACGTCTAATCTTATTGATGTATGTAGGACAGTGCTTTGACATACATGCTGACAAAAGTCATTTTACTGAGTTGAGACGAGCTTTTTAGATAAAATTAAACTTGAGACTTACAAAGATACATTATCTCCCTTTCTATCGGAAAAGGGGAGATAATGACAAGAAAGCTGTTGACTTGGACATATATTAGTTTACAATTATGGTCTTTGTTTTAGTTCGTTGATAGGTGCTTGTTTCTGGTTAAAAGAATATTAGATGGACACGAACTAAGCAATACTGCGTTTCAAACAGCAAAGGCATGTGAGATAATGGTTTAATACATACATATATGTGTTTACTTTTTCTACTTTCGGTTTCGATTTTACAGACATAACAACAAGATTGTAAAATTAAACACACAATGATTTTCATTTGATACGGTTTATTTTACTACACAATTTAAATCACCAATATTGTGCCGATATATAAGATTCCTCTATGATCCATGTCTACCAATACATCAATGCCTTAACATTTTTTCTAGATGCACAAAGTTGTCTGTATAGAATGCAGGTAGCATGGTTAGTAGCATACACAAAGTCATATTGTTCAATACGTGTTTCGAGCGATTAGTTTTCGTATTCAAATCAATTAACACGCCCTAAACTGAATACACAATATATACACAGTACACTTATATAAAGGTAAATATACTTTTCACTTGGAAAAACACCATGCCCGTAAGACTCAAATGCAACATGTATCAGGTAAGTATCATTCAAACAATTAAATATATATACATATATTTACAATGTTTAACAAATAGGAGTATCCCAAAGTGAATGTTTTATTGAGCACAATAACATGATTACACTTGCACAAATCCTTCAATACGCAAGGAATATATATCAAATGTACACAGCTCAACTTGCACATTAACTATCACTATTTCTCGCTATGAATCAATACGAGCATATTATTCTCCAAAATATCATGTAATCACAGTCAAATTCACAATAAAAAATACTATCTATTATTCCATCATATACAACTTGCAACAGCAAAAAGTATACACTTTGTACGTTCATTGTACAATGACTTATTATCCAAATTTCGCTACAATGCACAACCACTATTATTAATATGTATTTTGTGCAATGAGATGTTTATTACTCTATGATGATTAATACTACTTTTCTTTTTTTAAGGTTTTTATGAAATGGTCTTTTGCCACCTTTAAGCATTGTAACCTTTTCGATGTTTATCTTCACTGAACAACAAATACCAAGGTCATTCGTTAAATTGTTTGTTTTGGAATGCATCAACTTTGATAAATTAGCAATCAATATTATGCTTTTTATCTTAGAGTGATCCAACCTAATGGGGTCTCCGGTTAAGCATTTTTCAATTTCAATTTCTTTTCATGAATAACACATTTTTACAGTACATTCACTACTGGCAGACAGGGATATCCATCTAGATAGTGAAACAGATTTTAGCATCAGTTAAAAAGGAAAAAAAGCTCTGAGAACCAATAAAAGTAAAATTATAAGACAACAGAAAGATAGACAGTATTAGCATCAGAAAACATTAGAACATCTAGAGATCAGGAAAGTTCTTATATAATAAAATGCGTTCGTTATTAAGAAGCAAGGAAGACGAGTATGGGACTCGTTAAGTTCTAGAATTTGCAAAAACGCTAGAATGGCTAGAATCCTGAGCTTCAAGATCTACCTAAATAAACTGCAACCAGAAAGATTGTCCTCTAAAACAGTTAAGAATTCAAATACAAATTATCCAGGAATACAGCTTTGATTATTTGTAAACACCCATATCAAGGGACACAACTGTATGCATAAATGCATCAATATATGCCTAAATGTACAGAAATCCTGGAATACAATATATGAAATCAGCAAATACTGGACTTTTATTCCAGCAAGATACATAAAGGATATCCTGACAATAGGTTTTAAGGAACAGCTTAAAGATAAAAACAAATACGGAGAAGATGGCAACTTCCAATGTTGTATGTGTATTACATGTATCAGAGGAAGAGGAAAACTATTTAAGAATGCATTTATTGGTGACTGGAATTTCTCAAAGAGCTGTGCGTATATTATTTGATAAAGAATTTCATCCTTCTCGGTTAGAAGCAACCATTAAAAAGGGATATGTAACACTGTATGACTTAAAAACAAAGCATGTCATTAACGCAGCTCAGTGGAATTTACTGTTTCCGCGTGGTGGTAGGTATAAGATGCTTAATCCAGTTGACTTATTGTTCTTTTTAAAACTTATCATAGTATTTCTTACATTATAAACATTTAAACGAAGAAGAAAAAAAGAGATGTATGCTAATGAGTTGACTTGCTAACAACACATTATAGCAAGACAAGCATATAGTGAAACTGATTCATAAATCATTTAGATTTGTTAGGTATATAAAAAAATCCGACTAAAAAGAATATTTTCAGAAAGACTTACACAAATGACAAAAAAGGCAACTTTATTTCATCCCGTGCAGAATGCTTTTGCAGTTTATTGATAGCACCTAATGATGTAAGTGATTTAGGCCCCTATTCTGCCACAAATATAAAGTCCATTATTTCAAGAGGAAAAGTATTGTAATTGAGTGAATGAAACCCTGAGAAAATATCATAAAATTATTTTTGTAGAGTTTTCTAATAAAGTTTTCCTTCCAAACAAAACTGAGAATTTGTGAAATTTGACAAAATCTGCTAGATTTCCCCCAAATGTAGGCCAAGAAAACTTAGAGCACTTGCTTCACCAAACTAAACATAAAACATATAATTTTAAAGGGCTTTTGTCGACACCTTCTCTATATGCTTTTGATCCTGAAAACAAATGTCAATTAGCCTGTTTTCTTTGAATATGGATGAAAATTTGAAATGATGATCATTGTAACGTCACAGAAAGCTGATACTTAAATTAAAAAAAATATCACATATCCAGTCATTGTTTGATTTATTTTATTCAAATACAATCTTTAGGATAATAGGTATGACATACTTATTGAAAATGTTTGGGGCCTTATTAAACCACTTGAAATAAAAAAAGAATCATTTTAGGAATGAAACCGTAACTCAACGATACAAATTTCACTTATAATCCAAAAACTATAGGACTGTGAATCAGCAGGTTAAGCCTTTTGTGCTTGCTGTGTTACTGCGACAATTCGTAATCATGATACCATTGATTATTATGGTTTGTTTGTTTGCAAATAAACCGATATATATAACGGTGTTTTTTCTATATATGTTCGTTGGTAGTACACTGATATGACTGATTATGATGGAGAAGTAGAAGGGTTAGTAGATAATTTAAACTCGCCAAATATCCATATATATGGCCCACGTGTGGAACCTCTTAAGTACTTTTTATTTAATTAGATATTGACGAAAGACGATGTATTGTGTGTGTATCTTTCTATTGTGAAAAGCTGTATGGTGCCATCTCGTTCGTTTGTTTTTTCCCATTGAGTTACTGTCTCCAATATTGAAATTAAAACACCAATTGCTTTTGTTCATATTTTAATAAGTTTCCGGAGGTATGACTTGATACATTATTTCTTTAAACTTTCACTCAAAGGATTTCGGATTCAACCAATTAAGTGCTGTAATCATCAATATTATCTGTATATAAATGGATTTCATGAGAACATGAGTATCATTTTTTTTAAAGGAATCAAAAACATTTATAAATTGAAATAATTAGTTTTGATTCCTTGAACATGTTAAATTGATATAACTCTTATTGTATATTTTTAGGTGCACCTAACTCTCAGACTTTTGATGTGACATTAATGATTATAATACTTAGAAACCTGGCAAATTTTACTGAACCAGCAGGTGGATATGACAAATTACCATGTTTGACTGATACCTCATCCATGGCTGACTTAGCAAGAATCAAACACTACAGAAACCAGTTAGCTCATTTTAAAGGTGGAAAGATGAAGACAGCAGTATTTACCACTGCATGGGAAAATATCAGTGGGGTAAGAATATCAGTTATCTGATAATTGTAACAAATAATGCATAATTCATGTAATTGTGAAGAGTCCAGTTTTGAATTACCTTTTAAAAGACCATAAGCTTAATGGGTGTTACATGCAAAATGTGTGTACTGACTTTCATTTAAAGGCTGCTTCTCAAAGCAATGAATTGTTGGAATTGTTTGGTACTCTATGGTCTTCAACTTCTTACTTTCTTCGCTCTTTTAAATCGAGCGTCACTGATAGGGCTTTGTTTAGTATCTGGCGTGAAGGGTTTTGGTCCTAGTATCTATGGTGAGTTTTTTTAAGTATAGACATAAGAAAATGTGGTATGATAACCAATGATACATCTATCCAGCTGTGAACAAATGAAGCGGAGGTTAGCCACGAAGGTCGCACAATCTTTCATTTGTTGTGTTTATTGTTGATGATGGATGTCATGTAATTTATAGAATATACAGTTGCTAGCATTTTTTTTGAATCCATAATCGTGCAGGTGCATGCTCAACTTTATTATGTCAATATTAACGACTACAATGGACGATATACAATATTTTTGTTCTTGAAAGTCTTAACCTTCAATTGCAATAACAGATGTTATTTTTATCAAAATCAAAGCCTATCCTCCTAAAATTGACAGATATTCATTAGCGTATTCTAAAGAAATGTTCGTCTTAGTTTTGATTTTTGCTTTTGAATGTTAACAAAAGTTATCACTGGTTGACAATTTTTAATTTGAAGCACCACTGATAAGATATATATGAAAAGAAGAGCAATTTTATTCTTGATGAAGCATGTATTCAATGTTAAAATTGCTCATATGTTTCAAGTACGAACAAGTTGTTTGGTTGATGTTCAGTGAATCTGAAAATGTAAATATATCAGTGTCAAGATTTATTAGTACTTGTTTTTAAATCAGAACAAAGTTCATTCCAGTGACTAAATATACATGTGGTTGTAATGTAGTTAATGTTTCATGTATTACAAAGGGTTATTATTCTATTTATTTATTTTCAAACACCATCATGTATGGAGGATAGTTATTTATTCATTTATTTTAAATGTTATATATCTTGAAAATACTGTATAATTAATACTATATATATGTGTATATGCTCAAAAACCTTCCCATTAATTGACTTTAATAAAGTATTCTTATTCGTTTATAAATCGTTGAAATGCACATATGGTGAAGCGTCGACATATGAAATATGGCACCTTACGTCCATTTTTTCATATATTCTTTTGAATACTCGACACTTTTATATTTAATGTTTGGATTTCATTGATTAATGATCGTTTATTGTGCAGCATTGTAAATCAAAAATTGGCAAAGATCCATATCAAAGAGAAAATTGGGTCTGGTAAACTTTTGAGTTTATTTTTTCCGTAAAGCAATATAGGAAACGACTACAAAATAATATGAAGTAAATTAATTTGAAATGTATTACAAAGATTGAATACAAACGAACTTAGCTCTAAAATTCTTTCAGTTTTGATATAATTTAAAACATTTTAACAGGCGAGATGTCAAGTATGTCAACTTTCATTTCGTAAATATGTCACACAGTTATAGCAATTATATTTTGGAACAATGCAAACTGATATGATCATGTAGTACGGTTGATTCGTTTCGAGGTTGGGCTATTCCAGGTTATTAAGGTGTAAGGGCGGACCCGTATAGTGTTTTTGTGCGAGTTCGTGTAAGATGATTTGAGAATAAAGATGTGCAGTTTATTTTAGTATTGACTTGTCTTGTAAGTCCCCGTCTAAGGCAAAATCATATCAAAACACCAACTATCAAATTTCACACATGAACAGTCCTGTCTTTGACACCTTCGGCTGATCTAATATACGTTAACAATGACGTCTATATATTTAATATGCCGTTAAATTCTCATATATATTGCGTGGCATCTGGTCATTTTTCATTTTATTTTCATAGGCTATAAGAAGACTAGGTGGTCCAGATATGGCTGAGGAATGTAAAGAGCTAAGAACAAAACATTTGGATCAATCAACAGTACCTTGGAACCTTAAAGGTAAGGAGAAAAACAATGAATAAATGTCCTAAACCTTGAAATGTTTTAAAGTATCAACAACTAACATTATTTAATGTATTCCAATTAAATATTTAATAACACTAAATCGATGGTACAAATCTGAGACCTACTCTATAGTGTGCAATGTAAGAATTATTCCAAGGTCAATTTGGCAAAAGGAAAAACTACAAAATATTGGACACGAGCATGAATTATGGCCAGTCAATTTTCAGAACTGGTGCGAAAATAAATCTCAGTACAATTAAAATTACATTATCGTGATCCTTACTCTAGAATTGTATAAAAAATAAGTTTTAGAATATTGGAAATTGCTTTTAGCATAGACTCGCAAAGAACTTCCATCAACACAAAATTCTCAAAGTAAAAATAAATAGGTCGATTTGACTAATTATCAATGATGGAATTACAATCTTTTGATCTTTTGATCTGAACAAACTAGTTAATATCCTTAGATAAGTGCAAGTTAATTCTAAAAAAAATGTATGATAGATAAACAAAATGTTCAAACAAAACATTTGGAAATAACTACATCGTACCAAAGAATGTTAGTTGCTACTGAAGAAAGTTCTAAATACTTGATTTGGAAATATGAAAACATACCGTTCTTCATTCTAATACCAGTGGACGTTTTTCAGAGTAGGTTTTATTTTAGGAAAGTCAATAAAAAAATGTATAAAGTCATAATATATTGCGATGCCCCATAAAAATGTATTCTGATTTAAAAGCAAAAAGACATCCAGAACAATTAAATGTTGCTTCAAACAACAAATAAGTAAATTAACGATCTTCTAAAGTAACAAAACAATGTTATTTGAATATTTTGTTTTGTGTAAACACATGTCTTATTTATTTTTTGACGTCAACTTTGTTAGATAATTGTTTCATTTGCAATCGTAGCACGTTAGTTTCATTTTCATAGGAAAATCAAATCAAACAAAACTCTGCTTATGTTGATATATAGATATTTCTCTGATGACTATATTTCATTCTTCATATTTTAGTACAATTCCGTCAGATACTGGATCAGTGGAAGAAAGATGATGTTAACTTTGTGGAAACTAGAGCTGCAAAACATGTGTTAGAATTTATCAGGAAACACAGTTGTGTAACTATTACTGCTAGTTCTGGTGTTGGAAAGACAGCAACTCTCCGACATGTTGTTTTGAAAATGATAGGAGACGGTTATGATGCATTACTGGTAACCAATCCACATGAAATTGTTCAGTTTTTTAATCCAAATCAGAAGACATTGTTTGTTATCGATAACTTTTGTGGAACATATTATATAAACCAGTCTGACCTTAACAACTGGGAACCTGTCATGAGGCGTGTTGAAGTCATCATTCAAAATAAACTCACAAAAATCATTGTGGCCTGTCGATTACAAGTGTTCAAAGATGAAAGGTTTGAATCTTTATCCATTTTTAAACACAGGGTGTGCAACTTGCTATCAGACGACTTATGTTTGTCACAAACTGAAAAACAGTCAATAGCAGAGTTGTATTTGGAAACAAAGTCTTCAGAGATTATTCAGTATTGCGATTTATATAATTGTTTCCCGCTTCTCTGTAAACTCTATCATGATAATTCTGAACTCAATATTACAGACTTCTTTCGGAATCCGTATTCAGTATATGAAGCAGAGATGGAACAGTTGATAAAAAAAAAAGCTTTACACAAAATACTGTGTCTTGGCGTTATGTGTCATGTTCAATAATATATTGACAAAGGAATTATTCATAAGAGAGATAATTACTGAAATAAGAACCATAATAGAGAACACTTGTGAGGCCTGTCGACTAGATAAAGGAACATCAAGGTTGACGTTATTGGACGAACTTTATTTACTCGAACATACATATTTTAAGAACGAAAAAGGTGTTTACAAAACTGTCCATGACAAACTCTTTGACTTTTTATCTTATTATTTTGGAAAACAAATGATTGAGTGTTTAATCAAAAATGCTTTGAGTTCATTCATAATGGAACGATTTATATTAGAAGGAGAAACGGACACTGGCCAGTTCATTACTATTGTTCCACCTGAATATCATGCAATGTATGTTCAAAGAATGATTTTTGACTGGTTTAATGGGGAGGTAATAAGTGTATTTTGTAACAAAAATATGGACAAGCCAGAATTCCGACAGAGATTCCTAGCACATATAAAAACATTTGATATATCATGCCAGAGAAAGTTAGCACACACCTGTAATGTTATTATACAAGATACTGTCCTGTTAAATTGCTGTTTTAAAGGAGATATTCCGTTCATTCAGTGGTGTCTTGATTATAGTGTAAATGTTAACCTGTGTAGGAATGATGGTGTTAGTCCTTTACTTGTATCTTCACAGAAAGGAAATAAGAAGATTGTGAAGCTTTTATTGGAAAACAAAGCAGACGTAAATAAATGTAATGACGCTGGCATATCTCCCTTGTGCATTGCTTGTCACAACCATCATGTAGATATAGTTCAACTTTTGCTTGAAAACAATGCAGACATTAATAAGGTTGTGAATGATGGCACATCTCCCTTCTCTATTGCTTGTCAGAACAATCATGTCGATATAGTAAAGCTTTTACTGGACAATAAGGCAGACATAAATGTTTGTAGGAATGATGAAACAACTCCATTGTTTGATGCATGTCAGAACAACTATGTCGAAATTGTTAAACTGATACTAGATAACAATGCAGATATCAACAAATGCACGGATGATGGAGTATCACCCTTGTTAATTGCCTGTCAAAATAATCATATAGATATAGTAAAGTTGTTATTGGAAAACAAGGCAAACACTAATATTTGTGATAGCACCTGAGTATCTCCTCTATTTATAGCTTGTCAGAATAATCAGTTTGATGTTGTTAAGCTGTTGGTTGAAAACAATGCAGATATAGATAGATGTAAGAATAATAAAGTATCTCCCTTGTTTATAGCTTGTCAAAATAATCATGTTGGCATAATTAAGTTTTTACTTGACAAAAAAGCAGACATAAATAAATGTGAAGATACAGGAGTATCTCCTCTGTTTATAGCTTGTCAGAATAATTATGTTGACATAGTCAATATGTTACTTGACAACAAGGCAGACGTTAATCAATTAAGAACTGATAGTGTTTCTCCCCTGTTCATTGCCTGTTATACAAATAATTTTGAGATAGTAAAAGTTTTACTGCAAAACAAGGCAGACACAAACAAGTGTAGGAATGATGGGACTTCTCCCCTAATGATAGCTTGTTACCATGGAAATACAAATATTGTACAGATTTTAATTGACAATAAGGTAGATATTAATAAGTGTGAAGATACTGGAGGATCTCCGCTGTTTGCTGCCTGTCAGAACAATTTTGTTGACATAATTAAGTTGTTACTGGAAAACAAGGCACACATTAATAAGTCTAGAACTAATGGAGCATCTCCTCTGTTAATTGCATGTCAAAAAGGATATGAGAATACAGTACAGCTGTTACTAGACCACAAAGCAGACTCTAAAGGTACGAATAACGAAGCATCGTCTCTGGTTAATTCATGCAAGAAGATGTTACTGGACAGCGAGGTTGATATCAATAAGTGCGACAATGGTGGATCATCTCCTCTGTTGGTTGCTTGCGAGAAAGGATATACAAACATAGTCAAGCTGTTACTTGAAAATAAAACAGATATTAATAAGTGTCGATATAATGGAGTATCTCCTCTGTTTATTGCTTGTCCGAATAATTATTTTGATACAGTAAAACTATTAATAAAAAATGATGCGGACATCGACACGTGTAAAGATACTGGAACATCCCCCTTGTTTATTGCTTGCCAGCAAGGATGTCAAAATGTGGTACAACTGCTGCTTGAAAATAAAGCTGATATTAATAAGTGTAGGAATAATGGGGCATCTCCCCTGTTTATTGCATGTCAGAACAATCATGCTGATATAGTTAAATTGTTACTTGGCAACAAAGCTGATATTAATAAGTGTATGAATGATTGGGCATCTCCCCTGTTTATTGCCGATCAGAGAAACCATGATGATATAGTCCAATTGTTACTTAACAACTTGGCAAGCATTGATAAAGGAAGCGGTAATTAAGTATAATCCACTTTGATGGATGAAGAAATAATCATATTTTTTTTAAAAGATCAGATTGGAATTGAAGTACCAGTGATCGCCAAAACAAATTGCCTTTGAGAAAGATAATTTTGCTTTAGTGACTCTTATTTTAAACATTCTAGAGATAAGCAGTTTATATAGAACGAGATAGTTACAAAGCAAAGGTACACTTCTGTTGAGAAAAAAAAAAGAACAGTGCAATTCGTTCCTCGTACAATAGTGAATTATGTATCAGGGACGTTGCAAGCTCATAGTTTTGATAATAAACCAGTGAAAGTAACCTAATCGAAATGCTATAGTTGCAGAACATATTTTTTTTAGTTTGAAAACAACATTTGATTCATGCAATCGCTACACGGATAACATTCAAAGGCATGCTTGTCAGACATAATTCACTTGCCTTTGACTTCATAGTATGGTTCAGTTATCAATATTTGATTATAAAATGAGGATAGACTCTTTCTATGTTTTTTTTAAATGCAATCGAACTTCTAAATCCAAAAATCTATGCGTGCATTTACTATTTCAAATATATGATTTCTATCAAAGTGGCAAATTTAATTTCTATTATTGCAAAAAATATTGTAAAGGAAATAATGGAAATTATGAATGCTAGTTGCCAACCAGATACTGACATATTTTCGCATTAATATAAACATTGCAATGACAAATGAATTTACATGTGTTTTTCGCTTATAACATTCTTTGCTGATATCAGCATTCTAAACTATCACAACAAACATAATTATGTCTACAACAGGCATGGGGTAATGCAAATTTGTAATTGTAATGCATGATAATGCATTACATTTTTCCAAGTAATTGCATGTAATGTGTAGTGCAGCAATTTTTGCATTACATGTAATTGTGATTTAATGCATTACTTCAGCAAAAAGTTGTGTAATTTCATGCATTACATTGCATTCCATGGCATTACTTTTTTCACATACTATATATCTTTAACAGATTGTTGGAGATTAAACTAAAGCAGAATTTAAGATGTTTTTATTAAGAACATAATCATTTAAATATTGATTTTCTATTTTATTTATATTTCACACTTTACATAAATTACTAGAGGAAATTCGGTGATTAAGCCTTGCCCCAGGTAGAACTTGAAAAGAAAAAAATTAAAGTGGTATAATACTAGAATGACCAAATTACAATTCTAAATGAATAACACAACACTGTGTATCAGATAGAGTTTTTTTTTTAATTATTACATTTTATTTTATACATTTTCCTGCATAAAAAGATTGATATTTGAAAAGCATTACTGTGAAAGTGTTCCATTGTTGTCAAAAGATCACATGATTAAAATAACAGATAATTGAACATTGTCATAAAACACTAATTTGTTTGTTTTACAATCAATCTTTTCACCATTTTGACACTTGGTCATAAATTAAGCTCTTTGTTTATTATATAATCAGGAAAGAAATTCTCAGTAAATATTTTGATTGAAATTTTTAAAAAAATGCATATTTATAAAAGTAAAGTTAACATTAAGTTAAAATAAGTATTAAACTTCATCTCTGTAATCTCGTTTTTGAGAAAACACAGAGATGTGTACCTTTAAACATTAAAACCAAAGATAGAAGAGCAATCTACTTTGATAGTTTTTGTAAAACAGTCGGGTAGTCAGAAATATTATTCACCATGAAACCTTCGAAACCCTTATGATATTAAAATGTAATAGTCGTATTGAATAGACTTTTTACATGTATACCAAAAATTCAATATATGGAACAGTTACTGCATATGCTAGAATCTTTTGTTACTTCATGTTGTTTTTCAAAATGTTTGATTTTTCTTTTCACTTGAAAATTTACAAATGTAATTTGTAATTCAATGCATTACTTTGCAAAAGTAATTGTAATATAATGCATTACTTTGATAAATGCATGTAATTGTAATTGTAATTTAATGCATGGTTTTGTCAAAGTAATTGTAATATAATGAATTACATTGCAATGCAATTCGCCCCATGCCTGGTCTACAATAGTCATTATTCTGCTGTATTTTAGAAGAAAAAAAAGTATCATATATTCAAATCCTATAAAATCTTTGAAACAAAAAACATATCAATTCATTTGCAGCAACGTTACCGCATTTCTCAAAAAGAAGCCCGGTGATTTACACGTGAGAGTGAAATTTTAAAGACTTCTCAAGAATTTAACTAATATCGAAAAGCAACTGGTTTTGTAGTTTGTTAGAACCTCTCTTAACCTTTTCACAAACAAAGCAAACTTGAGAAAACAAGTACACTCTGAGTCTATGGTTTATGTCACAATTCAAGCATTTCTTTAATATGTGAAGGTGAAAGTTTTTAAAATTGTCACTTACTGTGTATATTATGTATGTCTTAATTGTTGTACTCATATAAAAAAAGTTTATACAAATTCCTAAACGATCATATATCAGAATTCATATCTTTGAAAAAGAGAGGCGAAATATACCAGAGGGACATTCGAACTCCTAAATCGAAAATAATATGACAACACCATTGCTTAAAAAAGAGACCAACAGGCAAACAGAAGTAAATGTAATAAAACACAACATAGAAAGCTAGACTGAGCAACACGAACCCGAACAATAGCTGATCTCGGGTTGTCTGGAAGGGTATGCAGATCCTGCTCCACATGTGGCAACCGTTGTGGTTTGATAATGTTAGGACAAACCCGGTTAACAGGCTTATTTAGTAGGTCACATCCGGGAAAAGGGAACGGGATTGTAGTTACGACATAAGGTACATATCCGTTATTGTCTGTGAAACGGATATTTCATAACAGTCAACCAACTCATGATGGCTTTCGTAAAACGTACAATAGAATGATTTCAACTTCACCACTTGAAACTCTTGGTTTAATAGCTTGCTTGTGAGCAGCAACACTCTATCAACGAAATCATGATAGGAAATACAAGCCCTGGAATGTTGTATCAACTGGATATATACTCCGTATGCAGGTGCTGCTGGAATGTTGCTACATATAAATGAAGTTCATAATTGGAAAGCTGAAATCATCTCTTTTGTCGTTAAGTTTTGTTAGCAGTCAGTTTCACAATATTGCCTTTAAACGTATGTACATTTGTCATAGTAACAAAGAACACAAAAAAAAATAATTGATTTTATGATAAAACGAACTATTTATTTTGATAAAATCAAATGAAAGTGTTTTGAAAAGACAATTTTTAATTCTAAAGCAACACCACCTTTATCGGAACTAGAGAATGTGATCAAGACGAATGACGGGAATAAAAATTGAATAACGGGGATGAAAAGCAACCTTTTTATAAAGTGTTTCTTCAATTTTGCCTATCACCTTGAAAATCATCAGCAAAACAAGATCTTCAAATATGTCAAAATTGTCGAAATCATCTCCTGATTTGATTTATTGCCCATCAATCTCTTTTGCGTTTTTGTTGTATATTTGGAATATAATGATAAAATACATAAGCACTTTAAAATAAAAAAAGCCAGATTGTCAAAATTGTGCGACAACTCCATAATGGAGTTATTCCCACTTAATAAAAAAAATATCAATTTTTGATTGACTCGTTTAACCTTATATCTCATATCTATAAAAGCTTCAATAAGTGAAGTGATCAGCAAGAAAAGATATACCAAATTATTTGCTTAATAATGAGTTTATTTAAATCGTCAGTCGACCACTTACTGTAATTATTGCTTTTGAATGATGATTTTAATTCTTTTTTTATGTTATGCATTTTATCGAGAATCTTTAAAGCAAAAATGATCATCATGAAGATCTACGAATAAGTCAAACGACCTAAAGCGTCACTAAATAAAGTCAACAGTAGTATACCGCTATTTGAAATTCATAAATCGATTGAGAAAAAAACAAATCCGGGTTACAAACTTAAACTGAGGGAAACTAATCAAATATAAGAGGAGAACAACGACACAACAGAAACTCAACACTAAAATGCAACGCACACAGAAACGAACTATAATATAACAATGGCCATTTTCCTGATTTGGTACAGGACATTCTAAGAAAAAATGTTGGATTGAACCTGGTCCCTTATTGGAGTTCTTTTATGAAAATATTGATAATAATTTTTACGTTTTTGTCTATTATCTTGAAATTTATGAAAGATAGATAAACACTTAGATATGATCAGCAAGGCAAATGATCAGCAAGGAAATATCTATAAATAAGTCAAAACCAAATCGTAAGTAGACCTTTTATAGGAGTGATTGCTCTAAAATGACGAATTCAACAGTTATTTCGTGTTTTAGGCAAAAATTAAGGAAGATAAAGAGAAATATGAAGAGAAAACAAATGATCAACTAAACAAGATCAACAAAAAAGAAGAGTTTTAACAGGAATTCTGTTCTAGTCTTTAATGTTGGAGAGTGTGCATTTTTAAAGATGCATTTAGATTTATATGAGCGAAACAGGTTGTTTAACGCAACTTGTTAATATGGACGCAATTGTTTTCCCTGTACGTTTTGGAACACCAATTCGCTAATAATCAGGTATCGACAATAACTGAGTTTTTTACTTTATATATTATTTTGAAAAGGTGGAAACAATGCGAATGTCGGTATATTTATCTAGATTTGTTGTTTAATAGGAAATCAAATGAAAAGTTCACTAGTTGAAATATCATACGTTTACAAAACCTTTGATATACGTGTTTGAAATGCAAAAGTGTTTATAAAATAGCATTTTTATTTCTTTGAAATCAAACGATAGTCGAAAGATTCCAACAGGATATTAACACTCATAAGTCCATATAAACTGACAACTCAATGACAAAAATAAACCAAAAGACAAACACCAGTATAGAACATACAACATAGAAAAATAAAGACTGAGCAACACTAACTCCTTATAAAAACCGAAGGTGATCTCAGATGACGCCGCTGGAATATTGCTACATAGAAATGGAACGTTCACAATTGGGAAGATGGAATTATCTCTTTTGTCGTAAAGTTTTGTTCTTAACCGAACCTCATTGTCAATTTCTAAATATTAGTCAAAATGTGAGACGGATTAAACTTTCATTTAAAGTTTGATTAATTAGATGTGTCAACAAAGTCACCAAACTTTGAATTATTTAGTAAGAAAAAATTATGTTTATAGCGGAAAGTGACGTTTAAGGATAATGATGGCTTAAATTCATTCTTCCATTTGAAACTCGTGGTTTAAAAACTCTTTCCTCTTTAGCAAACCATCCTGATATCCAAACAATAGGTTTCAAGTGATGGTTCATAATTTTGAATAAAAGTAAGAAATATTGGCACTAAAAATAAAAGCGAACTAAATTGTGTAGTCATTGTGTTCAAAAGTTACTGCATTTCTATAATCATGATAATACAATTTATTGGACTATCGTTTGAGTTGCTTTATTTACTGATGAAAGATACCCATATTGAATTTCATTACACAAAAATTAAAAAATATAGCTAGTCAACATGAAACGTGTTTTTTTATGAACATATTGACATACAAATATAACATATATGTACCATCTGTTATTAGGACAATTACTTATAGAAATTAGTTACTAAGCAACAGGCCAAAACACAAAATGATAAATGAACCATAAAAATCAGGTCAAGGTTCATTGAAATCAGTCAAACAGACATGAACACCTCACAAGAATTCCATACACAAACAATAATTAAGAAACCTTAACCTTGATTCACTGGTCAATGAAATGAGTTTAAGGTATAGTTAACGCTGTGTGATGGATATGTTGACATTGCAAACCAAATTACCAAATATACCCTATCCTATAACTTATAAGATATAAATCATATTGACAAAAAAAAAAATAAAAAAACACATTTTTTGTAGCAGTCTCCAATCCATTTTAGATTAAGATGTAAAACAGTTAATAGAGAAAACAATATGACTTACAATATAGTATTAAGAATTTGCCTCTGAAAACTTATATTTCAGCTTCCCAATGGTGAACTTTCCATTTTTATGTAGCAACATTTTAGCAGCGCCTGCGTACGGAATATATATCTCCCAATTGATACGATATTCCCGGGCTTGTATTTCCTATCATGATTTCCTTGATAGAGGATTACTGCTCACAAGGAAGCTATTAAATCAAGAGTTCCAAATGGTGAAGTTGAAATTATCCCTTCGTAAATGTTACGGACACCATCACGAGTTGGTTGACCGTTATGGAATAACTGTTTCACAGATGATATCGGATATGTTCCTTATGTCGTAACTGCAATACCCTTCCCTTTTCACGAATCTGACCTACCGAATTAGACTATTTACCGGATTTGTAATAACATAAGCAGCACGACAGGTGCCACATGTGGAGCAGGATCTGCTTACCCTTCCGGAGCACCTGAGATCACCCCCAGTTTTTGGTGGGGTTCGTGTTGCTTAGTCTTTAGTTTTCTATATTGTGTCATCTGTACTTTTATTTGTCTGTTTGTCTTTTTATTTTTGGCCATGGCGTTGTCAGTTTGTTTTCGATCTGTGAGTTTGACTGTCCCTCTGGTATCTTTCGTCCCTCTAAAAGGTTAAATTCTAATCGTCATATGTATTCATTATATTTGGAGTTGCATCTTTAATCTATAATACAAACGGGACGTGTGATATATCATGAAAATGAAATGTGTGAACATGCTACAAGAAGAGGGATACGCATATGTAACAAGGGTATACCCTATATTTTACATTACCTATAATACGGTAGTCCTAATATGAAAAAACCTTAAGTTTGTAAGTATTTCAAGCATAATATATTTCATACATAATACATGATATAGA